GGGGGGGGTGTATGGGGATGGGGTGCTGTGGTGCTATAGAGCTGGAATAAGGGTGTATGGAGTGGGGACATTCAGGGTCACGGGGTAGGGGGTGGTGCGTATCGGGCTGGGGGACCTGTAGGGCCATACAGCAGGAGATGGGGTCTGTTGGGCTTGGGGGGGCTGTAGGGCTGTCGGTGAGGTAGGAGGTGTGGGCTTTTGGGCTGTTGTAGGACTGTGGGGTGGATAGGGAGTACGGAGCTATGGGGTCGTGTGGATGGGGGCTGGGGGTGGAGAAGGCAGGAGGTGTGGGGGTCTGTAGGGGTGTGGGGCTAGAAGGCGTGAGCTGGGTTGTGGGACAAGGGGCTAGGGATGTGGGCTGGGGGAATTGAGATAGGGGTTTTAGGGCAGGGAGGCAGCTGTAGGGGTTTGGATGTGCTCTTGGGGTGGAGCGTGTGGGTGAGAGGGCTGTGGGATAAGGGGATGTTGGAGGACTCTAGGGCTCGGCGGTGTGGGCTGGAGCCCTGGGGGACACGGATGTGGGCTGCAGCGCTGTGAGCATGGAGGGACTGAGGAGGCCAGTCCCCTGGGAGTCTGGGCCAGCGTGGGCCAAAGGAGGAGGCGCGTTGGATGGGAATTGAGGGCCAAGGGGATGGGATGAGACGTTACAGCAGGCTGTGATGGATGTGGGCGCACATCCATCACACATGTGTGGGGGTGAGGATGGGCTGGGAGAGCCCTGGGGGTTTGGTGCTGCCTGTGGGACCAGGGGTGTGAGAAGGCTGTGCTGGAGGGGGCTGGCGGCGGAGCCCCTCAGGCTCGCATGCTCTGAGGCGAGGAGCGGCAGGGGCCGGCAGGCTGGGAGAGGAGAGGAATCTGTCTGGAGCGGGTGCTTCCAGGGCTGGGTGCTCCCTCCCCTGTGGTGGCATGTCCCCCAGGGCTTGGACTGCTGCAGGCTGCGGGGTTGTGGATGCTGCTGGTTACTGTCGGTAGCTGCAGACTGGTGAAACTGGGAAAACGTGATGCATTTGGAAGAGGACTCTGGGTCAGCAGAGACTGCTGACTCTGAAGCCAGGACGTGTTTAAGTTCTCACAGTGAGGATTGCTGCTGGATGAATTTACTGGGGCAGATGTGCAGCCAGGTGTTCGGCAAGGCATCCTCTCGCTGCTCTGGCTCTGTGCATGCTTGGCCTTCCCCAGTAATTTTCATGGCTTGCAGTAATAGTCCTCTGCTGTGGTTCTCAAATCGGCAGTGGCTGGTGGGGTTTAGGGGTCAGACCTCCTGCACTGGGGACTGCACAAGCAGATGGAGGGCTCAATCATTTGCTTCTGCATTTAAAGTACCATGCTATGTAATTTGTGCTGTTTTGAAGCTCTTAGACCTTTGTTAGTTTTTTCTCCTCCCCTTTTTTTCGGCATCTCCCAAGGAAACCACTTGCTGGTGTGTTTCTTGAGTTGCAGCTTTTTGCCATTTCAGCTTATCTGCTGGAAATGCTGCTGTTCCTGTTCCCTGAGCAACTGGTTTATACTAGGACAGGGGGAGGAGATTTGAGTCCAGTGCTGAGTGACGCTGTCACTGCGCAACCTGACTATTTAGAGGGATATGACTTGCCCATTTGTGCCCAAATTTGATCCGTTTTTCCTTTATATAACCTTACCAGAAATCTGCTGTTGCACATTGAGCTGAATGGCAGAGACCTGCTGGTGTGGAGAGCTTGTGCTTTCCTGGTGCATACATTTGCTCCTCTGAAATGTAAATCTGCTCTCGGGTCAAACTTTATTCTTCTCTTTTAATATATTAAATACTCTGAGCCCTTGTTTTGAGTGGGAGATTGCTCTGACTACTTCAGGCTTGTCTACGTTAGAAGATGGATGTACTTGCAGGGTGTTTAGATAAAGTGGAGAGGGTCAGTTGAGTAAAATACACACCACGAGTGTTATCAGCCTCTTGTTCTAACAGCTCCACCACACTTTCCGACAATGCGTGGTGATGACGGCGACCTTTTTTCCCCGGTAAGACAACTGCTTGTTATACCAGCTGATTTGTGGAGTGGGCAGGCTGTTTGACGTCTGATCAGCTAGCGTGATTTTTCACATGTAAATGTGGTTTTGTGTGTAGACACGTATCTGAAGGATGGTGAATGTCACAGCTGTCATTCGTAGCTTCTGTGTGCATTAACTTGACTGTCGTAAATGTCTGTCAGTTGACACTATAATGATCCCTTTCTCCCAGCAAAATTCCCAATCCCTGAACCTTTTTCTCCCTGCTGCTGAGTTACAGTCAGGCTTTTTGCATGTTTATGATAATGGTTCTCATTCTGGAAGTGTGTTGGTGTTCCCAGCATGTTGGGAGTCATGGCAGTGCATCGTTAACTTGCTGTGTGAAATCTGCTGCAGCATCCCTGGATTTACAAGAGTTTGCATGGACACCCCGCGTGGATGCTCGCCCTGAACATGATCCTGCGTGGATCGTGACCTCTGTACCATGTTTGTACAAGCAGCGGCTGCAGTTTTCCTTGATCTCAGTGTTACAAATGCTGGACAGTGACCATGAGAATAGTCTGCTCTTACCTGTAGGCACCTCTTCCAAACTGGCAGTGGGATGGGAGTTCGGGGGGGCCATGGTGTGCACGGTTGCAGCACTGGGAAGCAGGAGGTAGCTGGGGATTATTTGAGGGCTTGGGTGCTGCAGTGAATGATGCGTGTTAGATATCGAAAATGGACTTTTAATGATTTAGAGGCTTTCTGATTGTTTCTGGTGCTCTGTCAACTTGTTGGACATTTACTTTGGGTTAAAAGACTTCATGTGAGGACACTTATGCTTGTTTTATAGTGACGAGGTTTTTATGAGAAACAGCTGCTAAATTTACCTGCAAGGAGAAGCCTGACAATTGTTTGGGAAGCAGCTGGGACAAGCTAGGTAATGTTCAAAAAATGTTGTTTTCTGTAGTGTGGGATCAATCTAAGTGATTGCTTAACATCCTGGTGTGGCTGTGAGATGGCTCTGAGACGTACAAGCTCTGCTGAAAGGTTTATTATAGTAGCAAACATACTCCTTCAAGTCCGCTTAGTACAGCAGCAAAACAATGGATTTTGGGGATTCAGCTTCTAAAAAAAGTAGCCAGACTGAGTTTCAAAGTGGCCTTAGTGTATCAGAGAAGAAATTTGGGTAGTTGTCTTCTGCCTGTGTGTCACCCTGTCTCTGTTGTGGTCTGTTTTCACTCTGCAAAGTGTGAAATTAACTCTTGCCCTTGGTGCCAAGCCTGATTACTGGCTGCTTTGCTCATCTGTTGAGGTGCGCGATTCCTCTGGAGCACCTTCGCTTGCGGTTTCCCTGCTTCCTGGGGGCAGGGAGGATGTTGCAATAAGTTCTCCACAGCAGGCATGGTATTTAATTATAGCTAACTTTGCCTTTCTGTACTCCTTTAAAAATAACTTCAAGGGTTTGGAAATAGGGAATATGAAATTTTATCTTCCTGACACTTCATGGAAAGTTGAAGATTGGCAAATTAAAGGGACCTGATGCTGTGGGAGGAGGGTGGAAAGGCAGAGGTGACAGAAAAGAGTCTGCGTGGTGTCCACCCCACCAACCCCTGCCTTCTCCAGAGTACAGCATCTGAAGGTGTCCAACACATCAAGAACAACTTTGGAATAACTTTAAAGTTGAAGGGTTTTCTCTTAGATCTTATTCCTATATCTTGATTTATTTTACTGATGATGATTAGATGCATTTTCTAAATGAAAAACAGTAAATATGGACTGGACATGTGGCCAGAGAAATTCACATTGCCAATTAAATGAAAGCATTAATGAAAGAAGTGAGTTGATGGTCAAGGCTAAGGTGCTTCAGTTGGTGGCTAGTTGTCAAGGCTCTGCAGTGCAGGAAAGCTGCTTAAACAGTAGGTGTCTTCAGTGCTGGTGGGTAAGGAAATCACAAAATAGGTATCTGGAGCAGGGATTTAGTTTCTTGTATGTATGATAAAGCTGTATCTGAGGGAATTTAGGTTACAAAGCTTTGTCACTGAGATTTGGAAGTATTTAGAAAAAGGGGTAGGACTGCTTTTGTGCTTTCTCAGAAGGGGGTCCTGCTGGAAGCTTCTGGCAAAAATGGCCTTTTGCCTTTTATAACAGCCAAACACAGTTTATTAGTTGGACACCTGTGAAAAGTATCTCTGATACTCATGCAACTGCTTTGCAAGATGAGAGCGTGGCCAGAGTTGATGGGGTAGGGGTCTGGATAAATCAGAAAAAGAAGACAGGTTAATTTTAGGGATGTGCGTGGTGTGGGAAACTTTACCAATGGTAGAACATGGGAACTTTTCTAATTAAGGGTTTCTTACCCCTCAGTTGTGGTGGAGAAACCTGTCCACGGTCAGTTCTATGCATTTCATGTTTTCCCTTCCTCAAACAACTTTTGGCAGCCTTCCTCTTTTTGTGCAGTCATTTTGATTCCTGGTCCTGCTGAAGCTGCTCCCATATTTAAAGATATCTCCTGATAAGGGAGCTGCTAAGCTGTCCTCCGCCCCCTGAATCTCATTCCAAGAGCAGGGTTATAAACGCTCGGCTGTGCCAGCAAAAATCCCTTGTTCCTTCCTCCGTCTCATTTCGGGTCTCTTTGATGTCAGCATGGTATTTAGTTCCTATTTTTTTATAAGTCTCGCTGCTTGGACTACCTGTTCTCAAAAGACCAT